GAGGGAAATTAATCATGCATCCAATTCATGCCCGTTTTAAAAAAACAACACCAGTTTTAATTCCAAAATGGGAAGAAACTTAGATGTTGCTGAAAAACATGCAGCCCATAATAAGCAGATCCAGGGTGGGTTTGGTTGCCCAGCAGTTAGTATACCTCGGTGGGTATAAACCCAGAGAACTGGTTTTAGTCGGATGGAAATGACACTACCAGTCAAAAGTTTTAGCACACACTGATATTTTCTACATTTGCATATTACTCACTTGGCATTTACTAAAAATACACTCAGTATTCTTTGCTATCAAATTCGCACTATGTACCTTTTTTAGGAATATAATTTCATCTTTAATTCATCAAAGTAACCTCCTCTAGCAGTTATAACAGCAGAGAAAATTCAAGGCATTCTTTCTACATGGGACAAATACTGCTCTGTTTAATGGGATGAAACGGTTAACTAGTGCATTTAAAGTTAAAAGAGAGCCTAGAATCTGACTGTGCCAATCACCACACAAGGATGTCAGACACGCACTGTCAAATACTCTTTCCATGTTACAAAGTAATCTTGTTTAATTTGACATATTTTCATTTATATTTTATCAGTCAACTTTCCAAAAAAACCCTGCAGGTCATGAAATAAATGGAAAAGTGGTAAAAACTTTGGACTAGTAGTGTATACAATGCCTCCCTGTGAAATTTGCCCACTTGTGAATGTGGACGAGATGTGTAATGGATGTGATGTCAGTATAAGGTGTGGTCCTTACAGCGCAGCAGCTCCAGAGATGATCTCGATGAGCTCCTTGGTAATGACGGCCTGGCGGGTTCGGTTGAAGGTCAGGGTCAGCTTGTCGATCATCTCAGCTGGAGGAAAGCATAGCAATAGCATGGTAAACTACAGATCACGTCAATCTGTATACACCGCTCATACAGCAACATCTAACATTCAGGCAAGCATCGCTCAATTAATTAAAACCTCTCTATGGGACTATGAGATGGTAGTACAAGACAGAGGGAGATTGTTAGCCATTTACAGGAAAGCCTGCAAGCAAATACAAACAAAGCTCTGAAGAGTAATGAAAAGGTCACATGCAGTTTCACGTAGAGCCACTAGATGGACAGGCACCACTGCAATGGTATTTATCCTGCTATAGATATTCAACAATAGCACATCAGTGTTTTACAGGCCTGTAAAGCCACCAGTGTGTAAGCCATAGGGAAAGTGGTGAAGGGAGCAGAGGTGCCGAGTGGATGAGGGCGGGAGGGACGCACAGGCGTTCTTGCTGGCGCTGTCCATGGCGGTCATGCGGGCACTTTGCTCGCTGGTGGTCGACTCCTTCAGCCCGTAGTAAATGATGTTGACCAGAGAGAATTCCTGGTAGTTCCTCAGCACGTCGGCGTCAATGTCATCATAGACGCCCATGTTCTCTGTGGAATTAAAGTTCCGTGACAGACATAAGTGCTAGGGAGTAAATCAGCTCAGGGTCTATACAGTTTGAGCAGCGCTGATAGCCAGCCTGCCAAAAGGATTGCACTTTGTGACGAAAACAAAAGGCGTAACTAATCAGTTTATGCACTAGTTGATTCCTAATGTATGTAATGTGCCATCTGCCTCATTTGTGTGTCACTTTGGTCAAAAGCATCCGATAATGAAATATTAAATTTTATATATTTATGCAAAAGCCTTGAGAAAACGTAGCACTTTTCCACATTGATATGCTCCAGGGTATTACCTGAGTTTGCAACAGTTTCCATGGAATACAACGGCTTCTCATCAGTTTTGTATGAAATGACAGACCTGTCCAAAAAAAACAAAAAAAAAAACAAGAAGCTTCAATACAGGTGACAGTGACCATTAAGCAACGAAGAAAATTAAATTGCATTAAAAAACCTGCTGAATTTCCCCCATATTCACACCAGTCTTGTCTTTCCCATTTTCCTTACACACTATTTGCAGTTTTGCAAGGAAATGAAGCAATATGTTCAGCCTACCCCAGGGCTATTCAATCATGGTGCTCAAGTACCAAGCACTCCTGATTTCCCAGCCTTCCTTTACCTGTGAGACAGGTGTGAAGCCTCTGTGTTCATGTATAGTGTACGTGTATACATGCGTGTGTCAGTCGCATCATTGACATTATGTCTGTGCTCCGTACTTGGGCACAATTAGCGAAAACACCCAATCCGTACCATGCCCGAGTCCGACTAATCGCGCTCTGGCCCGCCTCTCAGAGCGGGCGAGGGCACAATTAAGCATCCCACGCCCAGGCACAGTAGAGAGAGATTACACTGGTCAAATGAAATAAACTTTGGGGATCAAACGTGCTCAGGCAGGGCACGGATTGGCTAGTGTGAGCACAACCTAACTTGCTCCCGTTACATCGGTTAGAAGTTAAGTGCTAACTGTGACAGAACTAATCCCTGACAATCAGACACAAGTACCTGAGGGCAATACAAAAACCCTTTCTTTCTGTCAAAGAGATGCCAAAATGAACTGCTGGTTATAATCAGCCAAATCTGTATTGACTGAGCAGTGGAGCAGGTTTTGCCAGTGGTACATTGACCAAGGTTAACAGGCTTGGTCTTCTGAAGGAAGAACAGCCTTAGTAAGTACGCATTACCTGAATCTGTTATAGAAGATGGTGCCCTGGTCGAATTCGTAGCCCGAGTTCATCAGCTCGGAGGCGATGATGGAGGCGTCCGCGAAGGTGGGTGGCTTGCGGCCCACTTCCTTACAGTTCAACAGCAAGTGCTTGCCATGCGACCTGTCAGAAAGAGGACACTGAAATGTGTGGGGAACCCCCAACTCCCACAACTCAGAATCAAAAGGTCCTTCACGTCTCTTCAGAATAGCATGATTCTTAACTGAAGATCCTGCTCCTGAAAGCACCCATAACAAGCACCTGTCTCCCCAGCTAAAGAGATGTATGCGGGATTACAGATGGTTAAGAGCACCACAGAACCACAGGCCTCCAAACCACAACCCTGAAATACAGTTGACAATAAGGAGGAGAACCGCAAGCTGCTTAAGGCCAGATAACAGCAGCACGTCGGCAAGATGCTCACCGGTAAAGCAGGCCTCTCAGCTTATCCCCAATGCTGACCACCATGACATCTTTGCCGACACCTGCGAGTTTGTTGATCTCGCTCTTCATGGCCTTTGCCACGTTGGAGTGGATGGCTCCACAAAGACCACGGTCGGAGGATACGCCGATGATCAAGTGCTTGTTCTTATCCTCGGGGACCTTGATATCAGCCTTTTCATATAGGGCTGGAATGAGAGACAGTTAAGACATGATACCAAGGCACAGAGCTCTACAGCACAACATACAGGGCAGGCTCTGATCTCTGGAACCGAAATCTCACATGCTGGACCTGAAACTAATCTTCTGTTGCCCTAAATCACCAGTTTTTCGAGGCATAGGATTACCCAACTTATTTATTACAAGGAATGTTCTTCATGCCAGACAACAGTGCAATCCTCACTTAAGGTGACTGACTCATAGCACATAGGTTAAATGTAAATTCAAATTATCTGAGCTATAAAATGTCATACAGCAGGATACCCAGATCCCCTCACCAGCCAGAGTTTAAGGTTAAACCTTCTAAAGAACCATAAAAATAACTTAAATACATCTCCAAGGATGCACTCTTTCAACAACATAAAACTGAATCAAGTCCACTTAAGCATTATTGCAGTCTTACCCAGAGCACCAGTCCCGTACACCCGAGCTGGCTTCAGCGATCTCTCTGCCCTGGAGTACTTAGCAGCCGCAACCATCTTCATGGACTTGGTGATCTTCTGGATGTTCTTGATGGACTTTAACCGAATGGTGACTAGCAAAATAAAGAATTAGTCTTACGTAAAGTCATAAATTAGTCTTCCAACCACTGATCCTGGTCAGGGTCATGGGGAGGAAGACACCAGAGCCGGCTGGGGTACATAGGGGACCAGTCCATTACAGGGGGCCACGCACGCACATCTGAAATCTGAACTTTTCACTAGTTAAAGAAATAAGAGGAATGCCCACATTACACGCAAGACATCGAAGTTAGGAACGAGCCATAATACAACACGTTTGTTGATACAATTTGTATATCTACAAATACTTACTGTCCTTCAGTGTCGCCATGTTCCTGACCTGACCGCTGGAAATAGAGAATTGAGTTAACCAGACTGTAAATGCGCTAACATCAAGAAAATAATAGTACATCACATGATAAGAATAAAAGTCAAATGGACTTTCTCCGCGAGAAGTCATCGCCCAGCCCAAGCCCAACGTTTGCCTTTGAGAGACAGAAAAGTATGCATTCATAAGTAACCTTTATGCGAGTCTCGAACATGAAACCGACGTTACTGTGAAAGCCCCGCTGTGTCCAGGAGGCTCGGGTCGCCGATTTAACCTTAAGGTTCATTTTGAATGAAATGTCAGGCAGGTAACGGACCGGTCCGCTGTCAAACCGCACTGCTACAGACGGATAACAGTGTGCAATATCCGAAAATGTAAAAAAAGATTAATCAAGAAATAAATATCTGAAAGACGACTGCCATAAACGATTAACTCATTTCTCAGTTTAACATACAAGTCTAGCTTGAACTTGGCCTGCCGGAACACGGCACAGCAAACGGGCCTAAGTCCTTGCACGACCTGGCCGTTTATATGAGCAGAAACTTAGCATACAGATATTTAAACAAAAGCACAAATTTTGAATTTGAAACAATTCGTGAAATGCACGCTTTACTATTTATCAATATGGCTATATAAAAATATATATTCCTACCATTGCGGCAAAAACACCGCGGCGCTGGTTCTAGCGAACATGGTGACTCCAATGAAGGTCAGACTGGCCGCACTGCGCAGGCGTCGACTGCCAAACTCCTTGCCGGCTTCGCGCTGACGTAACGCGTATTCTCTTTACGTTGTGTACTCGCGGTATTTCCGTGCTGTTCAGCGAGAATTCGTGTTCTCGCGGGAGAAAGAGAGCACGGATTCATGACGTAGGGTACAGGACCCAGAAACGCGCTGTGTCTTTTGCCTAGTTTTAGCGGAGGTAATCCACTGGGCAGTTAGTTTATTGGCAGTTTTGATTTTATGTGATTTGTTTTCTTTGTGTTATTTGTCTACAGTTACGTTCCAGTATGGGGAAGGCGGAATTTTTAACTCCAAAAGCAATCGCGAATAGGATAAAAGCGAAAGGTCTTCAAAAGCTTCGCTGGTATTGTCAGATGTGTCAGAAGCAGTGTAGAGATGAGGTAAGGCTGTTATCTGTAGTTTTAAGGATCTAGTACTGTATTGAAAAGCGAGTAACTGGTTTGAAACTCTACTATTTAGTATACAATAGTATCAAAATAATGTTGCAGAATATGAATAATGAAATTAGAAAGGTGCATGGACTTAGCCGAGTGGCTGCATGTGTCTAAATATGTTCGTAGGGTGTTTATGGGCCAGGTTTATAAGTAACGTTTGTCTATTTTTATATATAGAAAGCTGTATAATATTTGAGGTGTTTGTTTAGTCTGTATAATTAGTTTATGGGTTTAAACACCGAAACACTTTTTTCCCCACATCTACCCTCAGAATGGCTTTAAGTGTCACTGCATGTCCGAGTCACACCAGAGACAGCTTTTGCTCGCCTCGGAGAATCCCCGCCAGTTTATGGACTATTTCTCACAGTAAGAGCCTGTGACCCAGCAGTGTTTCATCCGTACGGTTGTGTTACATGCCGTAATGAGCGGAAGTAATAGATGTAATAGCTCGCATGGTTGGATTTTGTTTTCAGGGAGTTCAAGAACGACTTTTTGGAGCTTCTTAGAAGGCGCTTTGGTAAGTGTCATCGTCGTACGATTTATTCGCTTAGACCTGTGTGTCTGATTCGTTTTAGTACGGAGCACCAATAATTTGTACCCCCCGCCCACCCGCAGGAACAAAGCGAGTCCACAACAACATTGTGTATAACGAGTACATCAGTAACAGGGAGCACGTCCACATGAACGCCACACAGTGGGAGACGCTTACAGACTTCACCAAGTGGGTCGGTAGAGAAGGTGAGTTGGAAATATTTATAAACGGTGTTTATTTTCACCGGTGCTGTTTCAGTGTTTTGCACTAGGAAGCTATTCATGCAGTTTGGCAAGCCTTTGGCGAAAGAGGTGTCGGATTCATTTTTTTATTGATCGTGTTTCAAAGGCTACTGTAAAGTGGATGAGACACCAAAAGGCTGGTACATGCAGTACATTGACCGTGACCCAGAGACAATTCGACGCCAGGAAGAACTGGAGAAGAAGAAGAAGCAGGACCTGGATGATGAAGAGAGGAGTGCCAAGTTCATAGAGGATCAAGTGCGGCGTGGTAGGGAGGGTAGAGAGGAGGTAAGCGAAGCCACGCTATTCCCCCCCACCCCACTCGTAGCTGGGATCAAATCTGTTCATGGCTTTTCTGTGAATGTGCATACAGAATGTCTGTGTCTCTTAATTATCCTTATTCCAGAATTTCCGGTATGTGATTCCTGGTTCTGTGTATTTTAGACACTGAATCGCAATATTTCCCTTGTTTTTGCAGGAGACTCCAGTCTTCACAGAACTGAAACGGGAAAGCGAGGAAGAGAAGGGTACAGGCAGTGAAAAATACCCACTATGCAGTACTATTTATTTCAGATCTGATGCTGCAGAATTTCAGACAATACTTCTCCTGACATTCCTTGCATGGTTACTGTTTACTGATGTCTTATTTTATTGTTACTGGGTATATGTATGAAATTCGTTTTGCTATTTAAATATGTAGCCTATATGTATGTATGTGTGTACATATGTACCTTATAAAGGTACTCTCTGTCCATGTGGTATGTTTACATTTCTTTTTAGTGGTGTTTAATCTGGCCAAGGGGGCATGTTCATCTGCGGCTGGTCCTTCAAAGTCAAGGTAACCAATTGCATGATCAAAATCGAGGGTCATAACCAGATATGTGGGGGGAGGGGATTATTGAAGGAATTATTAGCATTTTTAATGATGCCCACACTGTAAACCCATGTTTACTCTGATTTCTGAATGATGGTTGCGGGACAGTTTATCATTCAGGTTATTAAATGATGCCTTGAACAAACATGCGTCACAGTTTCATGTGCTGGGTTATTAAAATGGACGCCCTTTCCCTTCGGTTCCCCAGTTCTTCCCTGGCTCCCAATGCCCTCCAAGCTGCTGTTTCAGCAAAGCGCAAGGAGTCTGGTCACTCCTCCGAGTCCAAGGGGAAGAAGAAGAAGTCAGCCCTGGATGAAATCATTGAGGTGCCATTTAAAAATATTTGCTCCAGTATAGAATTAGTCAAATGTTTTTTCATACATTGAGATTTTCTACATTTGCATGATACTTAACATTCACTAAAAATACCCTCAATATTCTTTGCTAACCAATACATTTGCAGTATGATCACCATTTGAATACCTTTACTAGCAAAAAAAAAAATGTTATCTTTGATTCATCAAAGCAGTCAGAATCTGACTGTACCTTCACCACACAACCAGTTAATTGGATGTCAGACATGCACTGTTACATACTCTTTCCATATTACAAAGTAAACTTGTTTTATTACACTCAACTTTCCAGTGCTTAAAAAGAATGTTAAAAATCTGCAGTTTATGAAATAAATGGAAAAGTGCTAAAAACTTGTGGTGTGCAAAAACTTGAATATCAGCATTGCTTGTTAGAGGTTGTGTTTAATGCATATGGTCAGACAGTAACCACTGGTCACATGGTCATATTGTTAATGTAGATTCAGTAGGCAAATAATCCCATCTGCAGCTCAGGATGTAAGGTTTTATAATGCATGTCTTGATGTATATTAGCCTAAGAGCACCAATGAAGTGATTAATTAAATTAATTAAATTTAATTAATTAAATTTTTGGTCTTAGTCATTTTCAGATATTAAAAATTATATATTTTATTCATGATTGTTATCTGGCTTAGCATTGTTTTGTATCTTCATCCCCTTTTGCAATTAATATAAAGTCTACTTAAAGGTTAAGTTATGACGGATGTTTAACTGGGTCTTTACCAACATTGTCATTTTTTTCAGAGAGCGTTTGACCATAACATGTTTATCATTTTTACATCTTGTGTGTTTATAATGCAACAAAAATTTTACCCACTGCTCACAGTTCCTTATACAGCCTCAGTGGTTTCACTAAACTTTAAACAATGTGTCCAGAACTATTGATTTCCTGTTGTTCCTGACTGTCTTTTACTTGTGTTGGATTCAGATGGAGGAACAGAAGAAGAAGAAATCTACAAGAACAGACCACTGGTTGCAACCTAACATTGTGGTGAAGGTCATCACCAAGCGACTTGGGGAGAAGTATCACAAGAAGAAAGGAATTATTCAGGTACTCCAACTCACTGTGTTAAATTCCTCTGTGTTTTTCCTAACATTATTATTGTTAAAGTTAATATTGAAAATTGAGTTTTATCATCATCTCCTCTTTGGCACATCAGTAAATAGTTTGGGGTTTGTTCATTGACTGTTGATCAACCAATGAAGGAGTCCTGAAGTTATCCAGGTTCTGGAATGACCTTCTGTCTCATGTAACTTTGCGGTCTTGTGTTTAGTCCCAAGCAGCTCTGACCTTCTGTATCGTATGTTGCAGGAAGTTCTGGATAAGTACACAGCTATGGTGAAGTTGATAGACTCTGGGGACAAACTGAAACTGGACCAGAGCCACCTGGAGACGGTCATTCCTGCCCCAGGTGAGCCATGACTGTGGTTAAAAGTCCATCATTCAGGTAGTCTGCCCCCCCCCCCACTGCCGCCGCTAATTAATACCTGCCGTCCTGTTTCAGGGAAACACGTCCTGGTGTTAAACGGGACCTACAGGGAAACCACTGCAATACTTGACAGCATCAATGAGAAGAGCTTCTCCGCTAAGCTCATTCTGGACTCGGTCAGTGTGGACATGGCAGTATTTGATGGCTGTCACCCCGCCCCCCCCACTCACTACCACACTTGGAGTTACTCACAACTGTGTCATTTGTCCACAGGGTCACCTGAAAGGAAAGACAGTGGATGGAATTGCATATGAAGACTTCTCCAAACTGGCCTGAATTGGATTATAGTCTGATAGACTTCATGGCTGTTGTATGAGCTCTACCATGTCAGAGTTGTTAATTTCATTTATTCTCTTTTAATGTGGGATTCTTGTAAATATGCTTATTCTGTAGCAGATATTTTCAGCTATAGTTTCAATGTGAGAATGTTTTTTTTTTCCCATTTTATTGTAAGTAATCCACTGTTCACAGACTTATGATTTGATCGTCATCATCAAATTTTGTCTTTAACTTGATATTGATAGTATTATTTTGGGATATTAAACATTGCATACTTGTTATTGCCACTGAAGTGGAGAGTTTATTCTTTTTTTTTTTTGGGGGGGGGGGGGCTCAAATCCTATGTCACTATGTTACACATTCCACTGTAAGGTCCACTTGGTTGAGTATCTACCTCATCATCAATCTCAACTTCCTGGACATTTCATCAATTGCTGTCACCATTGCTTTGCATGGATCTCAGTATTACCTAGTAGTGGGTCATATTTAATCTTTTCCCTAAAACTGCCAAGCCCCCTGCCCTGTACCACTTCATACAAAAATTATTAAAGGGGAGGTCCTTTCAGGGTCTCTGCAGGAAGCTGTCCAGCTGCGGGACAATGTAATTTTTGTAGTGTCCATCGATGAAACCCTTCCCGCTGTTGTGAATGAACCAGCAGAACACATTGGACCCGTACTTCCGGTTCTTTCTATAGTCCTTCTGCCAGCCCCTGTTTGACACAAATACAGTAAAAGAAAGTTTCAGATCAATATGACAAGAGAAACTTCTTTTATGTGAAGTATGTTGTTTCTTTGATGACCTATTCATTGTGTTAAAGATTATATATTGTGTGTTGTACCTGAATTGTTTGGGTAAAGCTTGGGTAAAGTTTAATATTGTTTGTTCAATTCCCATGGTTCCAGAGCCCAGAAGTGTTTTACAGAACCTTTTTTTTAAACAACCTCATCTGGAATAAGCTGTCATAACTTTGCATTACTCACAGGAACCTGCATGGTACATTTGTAGCCTGACATCTGTAGTCATACCTTCTCTTTTAAATTACCTAATAGGAAATTTATGTGTAAAGTTATAGATTATTATGGATGCTAATACTGCACCTGCACTAGGTTTGTAAAATCATACATTGTAAACAGGGCTGGGTTCATTGTTTCTGGGGGCCCCATAGTGACTGTTTGTGGCCTGGGGGGGTGGTAGCTTGAGTAGTGGTAAATGCTGAGGGGGGGGGGTGGTTGCCACATGTTAATATCATACCTAGTAACAGATAGTTTGTTCCCTTTCACTTCCATGGTAGCTTCCATCTTCATTGGGTCAGTTCCCTTGTGGATCTCGTGCACCTTAACAGTGGGTTCTATAATGAACTGACCTGAAGTCAGGGACAATAGGTGCAAGTCAGTTAGATTAACTATCCCAGGATGACTGTGTAACCAAGAGACTCAATTGAACCTGTTCTCCTGGGCTTCTCTGTTGTTTTGCAGACCGGAGGATTTTAATTGTGGTTCTGACTCTAATTTCTATGCCTGGAATGATTCTCAGATGGTTTGGGTTGAAGGTCACAGCTGGAACCAGGTTCAAATCTGGACTGATAGTGAAGCATTACTTCACCCTGACCTACCGATGAGGCCGTGGACAAGCGGGGAGAACGCATTGTCGTCGGGGGTGTAAAACCCCAGGAAGTCCACGTTGAAGGGGTGCTTCTTCCACACGCGGTGCAGCACGACCATGAAGGATATGTTGTCTCTTAGGATCACGTTCACCTTAGCGTCCTTCATGACGGAGATTTTCACTCTGAGTTGGGAGCAAGCAAAGAGAGGTTTCAGGTTCAAACAGCAAGCTGGTTATAGTTGCCGTTAAATTCGATATCAAAGCTAACTTAGGGCATTTTTCCACTTCTACCTAAAAGGGATCCATACCTGAACTGAACCACGAACACACAGTTTTTCCATTGTAAATTATGCGAGCCGTATCTGACCTGTACCTGTGCTGACATGGTCCTGTTTAGCAGAGGGGCTAAAAGTGTGACTAAACTTGTTACATCACCAACATCTGATTGAAAAGCATGGAAAATGTTATAAGTAAAATAAAAAAAGAAATGCAGAGAAATGAAAGAACCAGTGATCTGCATCAATATGCATGGATTAGCAGTGTTACACATTGTGCTGTATTGATCCATGCCCAATAACTCAGAACTTAAAAAATTCTAACCTCCTATTTGAAAAAATACTGTAGAACAGCTGAACGGAATGGATAACGCAAATTTACACAAGCAAATGTTAATTTCATTAGTGTTTGATGCTAACATGACGGCAATTCTCACAGGTGTGCTAGTGAAAAATAGCATATCGTAAATCATGATGTACACCGAGTGAACAGTAAACAAGCGTCTTTTCAATTTTACATTACTGTCACTCCCCCAGTAACGCCTTTATCGCGCCGACCCTTCTGCAGTGGAAAAATCAAAGTGAGGTGGAACCTCACTGTAACTAGTGTCTCTTCTCAGTACAGGTTGGATACGGCCTGGTTCCTGTATGCCAGTGGAAAAGCGCCGTTATAGAATTTGTGTGATTTAAATATAAGCTGTAACCCACTGATCAGATAAAACAATAACAGCCAAACATTCATGCCCATAAGCAATGACATAGAAGACAGTTTGATATTATGGGGGACACAACTTAATCATATAAAAGCAAAGGTCTATTTATAGTGGGGACGAATTAAGCCAAAATAAATATACCCCCACCCATACAGTTTGATTATGTGTCCTGCTGCCTTGTGCCCTATGTTGCCTGTTATAAGGCAATGCCAAGTCTCATATCTGTACGGAAAACTTACAATCACTAAGAAGCTCTCCTTTTGACTCAGTTATCTGGCACTTTTATCCAAAGTCACTGCTGCTAAAATCCTCGCCAATCCGCAGACATACCCGCTGAATGTGGCATTGGTGGCTGAAGCCCAGGAGATGCCATGGTTATCCTCCCCATCAATCACTGTAATCTGTTCGGTGCTGACGTCCACCCTCACCCCCAGGGGGCGGTAGTAGATGCTGATGGTGCCAAAGTATGTGTTCAGCTTGTTGTCCTTCATCTGCTTTCCTGCTATGAGCTTGCCGTTCACCACGACACCTTGTATGTGCATCATCATAATGTAGCATTAATATATTAATATTTATGAAGATTACTAGAAGGCATGATAGGATTTTCAGTCACACGCATCAGATAATTTCCCTTCATGTTACAGCAAGGGAAAGGATTATAATAGATTAGGATGTATAACTAACACAAAGAGGCAGCATCTTTCTACCTAATCCAGGATCAGATACTAGGTTGAGGATGTCTCCCGGCTCAGAGTCGATGTTGAAGCAGATGTCTAGCTGGGCCTTGGGCAGATAGACTGTGAAGTGAGGGTCGTTTTCGACTGTGCAGAGGGAGTGAGAGATGGTCATTAGTGCTGTGGATTTAGGAGGAATCTCCTCTCGGCTCAAGCGTAGCCAGGGCCTGGGGTTTCTAAACAGGGTTTGGCTGGGTAGGGAGAGAGACTGTGGGAAGGGACAGGGACAGAGAAGTCAAACTGCCACCAGTGGCCACCAGGGGGCCCCCTCATCTACTCAGCTTGTCAGAATGGGAAGGAACATGACAAATTGCAAATACATAAATGAAATTTTATTTAGGGCTCTGAAAAGGGTTGGGGCAGCCCTGGTCAGACTGACAGGAGCTGCTGAGTTCATCCCAGCGGTGACATACCTATGTTGACTTGGAGGATTTCGGTCCTCGTGGCAGCTGGCGTGGGCCCGGGGGTCGGCAGGGTCCAGGGTGGAACGCCATGGACCATTGTCACCTTCCCATTGGAAACAGGACCTGATGTTTGAACAATTTTGAATGCTTTGAATGTCAAAGGCCACAACACATAAAACATTGGCTTTCTTATTGATAGTTAATGGAGGAGTACTACAACAGGGAAAATCAGTATGTCTGCTTAAATGTTGCCCTATTCTGCACTACTCAATAAAGACATTGGGTGGCTCAGTGAGTATCACTGTAGCCTCACAACTTCTGGGTTGTGATTTGAACATCATCCCTGTCTGTAAAGTTTGCATGATCTCTCTATGTTCCAACGGGTTTGCAAGAGCATTTGGGTTTGGCGAGTTAATATCTCTATGCATCTTAGTTTATATGTACACTGTGTTAGACTGGCCTCCCATCTAAGGTATCTTATGCTACCTGGGATAGGATCCAGACTCATTGTGACCCTATATTGGATAAACAAATTTATCAATTTATTTATTTAAGAATAAATTATACATCAACATTTTTGGTCAGGCACCTAGGCAGCAGCCTTGCTTGGGGTCCTTGGGGGAATCGGCGAGTAGCCTCTCATCCCCCCCCTCACTCTCCACCAGCATAGCGGTGAGCGGTGTCACAAACTGGTGCTCGGTTGCCAGTTTCACGATCTTCTCTGTGATCTTCCTCTTCTTGGTCGCAGTGGAAGCCAGAGACCTGAGTGGACAAACCGGACGGTCAGCAGAAGCATGTGGTTCACGGCGCTTAAGCGTTAAGTGATTTTCCAGGCATTTAAAGGAATAGTTGGTTCATATAAAAAACAATGGATAATAATAGTGATTCAAAGCGGCCCCCTCATCTGTCTTGTTCACACTTAGGACTTACGCAGTCATGCACCCAGTCACCCTAACCCTAAATGTCCCTGTGGCCTGTGACACCCACCGGTCAGCCAGTAGTTGGTTGATGACGAGGTAGGCCCACATTTGCTTGCTGAACCCGGCAAAGGTGTGAGGCTGCAGAATGAGATCACGGTCCAGCACTTCACAGTCTGCCTTTGTTGTTATCTGAAGGTCCTGTTTGGCCTGGGGAGTGACAGAAATATGCATTAATTGCAAGTCATCCATTATAACTTAGCAGGGGAACACAGGTGTGTGTATTTATTGTGCATTCTTCCATATGAGCTTTAGAAGGAAAGTGCGAGCTCATGACTTGTGTACAGAATGCACTGTTCAGTCATCAAAAGTCCCTTAATAGCAGCAGACCTTAAAGACTTTCATCTAATATGGTTTAGACGTCGGTAGCGTGCTCACCGCGGAGGCCGTGATCATGGCCTCCAGCACGTTGGAGTCGCATGAGGCCACCTTGCCGGCCACCACGATCTCGGAGCCTTTGAAGAACTTGTCGAAACGACTCTCGGTCACATCGGAAAGTGAGTCCTTGAGGGACTGGAAGATGATGTTTCTCAGGAGAGGTGAAGACAGCTCGTTGTAGAAGCTCTGGGGGACAGGGAGAT